ACCGCTTGCTAGAATATTGATAATTGGTTGTGAAGGTAGTTTCTTAATTATCTGCGCAATTATCATGTGGGAAGCTTCAACCATATATGCATAAATATGGGAATTATAACTGGAAAGAAAATTGTTGTTATCACACTGAATCAGCAAATGACCTCAAAACTTTAATGCTCTTTCAAAAATAGTATAACATTTGTAGGTCCTTTTTACTAAGAACAGAATAGTTCCATCTTTGTCATTGAAGGAGTAATACTTGCGAAATACTACAAATAAGACTAATGAGAACAACTTTCTTTTGTGTTCAAATTACAACTTTGTAATTGCTCTAATAGGATTTTATGTTGGCAAATGTATTAAACAGCTATCCATTATACTTTCTTATTCATTCTTGTATACAGGCATCAAAATAATGAACAGAACATTGGATTGTATTTTTTATTTCCATTAATTTTTACAAAATTCAAATCAAATAAAGAATTAGGAATCATTATTAACATTTTAAATTACCTAAGTGAAAATTAAATTAACATATTGTAATGTAAATATTGCCCGAAATAAATTATTATTGTTATCATTCTTATTTTCATAACAGATTTTCAAAATGTCTACCATTGACTTTTATACACAACCGGCATCTTCTTAAAAATTGTCCTTTCAAACGTCTCAAACTTAAATCGGACAATTTCCGTGCTACTTGACGGATTCTATGACACAGATTATCGGCTGATCGAACTGGTTTTCCGTAGATCTTATCTTTTAAGCATCTCCAGTAAAAAAAAACAGGTTTCATGTCTGGGCCACAAAATTGGTCCTAGCCAGCCAATCCATCTCCTAAGGAATGTTTTATCAAGATATCCTCTTACTCCACTAGCATAGTGTTCAGGGCACTCATCATTCTGTAACAGCATCCTTCTTCTTGTCTCAAGAGGCACATCTTCTAAAAGAATGGGTAGATGATATTACAAAAAAATTAGGTAAATTTAGGTTGTTAAGATCATTTGCCGATTCAGTCTGGAACATGTTTTTCACAGTAATTAGTCAAACTTCAGTTTGTTTTCACATTGAAACAAAATGAAATGTTTTTTAGCATACCGTACTAGTTTTCAATTAAATGAATACTCTGTTGTATCAACCAACTATTAATTGTAGCTCAGGAAACAACATAAGTTAGAAGTTCTTTATAGCCATAACAGACAAAAAAGGATGTGGCAATATCTCTAAAGCTAGAAAACTTTTACTAAGGTCATGTTGATTTTATCTGATTGATCTGCAGCCAAGCTACCTCTCATATCACTCTGGAGTGTCATTTCTGGGACACCCTGTATAGTGCTCAGTCACTTGTACTTTTTATTAGAGGATGTATGACGGCGTACCGGTATAGATACTGAAACTTGATCTTTTGCCATTTCTCTAGACGTCTAGACTGTTAAGAGCCCAATTTTACATTAGAATAATGCCCGTTTCCATATTGCTTATATACAATGAAATAATTCAATAACATCCAAGTCAGCCTCCTTTCTGACAAAAGTGACTTCTTTCCCTCATTTTCCACAAATGCCAGCAGATATTAGTAAGCAACTACATCAAGCTTGGTATAGTATAAGATAAGACGGTATAAGCCGCCTCCTCAGAAAATGCCCCCAAGACTGTAAGAATGTACCTGTATAGCTTACATAACTACGGAATAAGAGTCCATCCAGTTATATAAATTCAGAATGTTTAAAAATTGTATATTGTGCAAATTTTGAATCTCAGAACTGCAAAAAATATTTGTTATTCAAAAAAGGACCATAAGAGCAACGAGACATATGAAATTTAATGAAACATGCAGAGGCGTAGTTAAGGGTATGGGTTTGATGACACTATATTCACTTTACATTTTTGATTGTGTTATGCTCATAGTGAAAAATAGAAACAATTTTCCCACGCAAGATGATCAAACTCAAAGTACAAGAGCTCTGAATGTTTTGCTACCTCAGCACAGGCTGACAGTAACTGGAAAAAACTCCTTCTATATGTGCGCAAAGTTGTATTATAAACTATCTAATCATTTGAAAGTGATGGAAGGTATAGGAACCTTCAAAAAACACCTGTAACGGGTTTTATTTCAGCTGAAACTATACAATATTTCTGAGTTCATGAATGCTTTCTTTTAGTGTGTGGATATGACGTTAGTTCCACATCTATGTCATTTGTCCTTATAATGTATTTGTGATTTTAGATTTGGAATAAATATTATTATTATACACCACTTAATCACGACTGACCGACTTGTTGATATTCTTTGGGACTGGACTAGTCCTATTCCAATCAGTGAAATATCTAGGATTTATCCTGGACTGCAAACTAAACTGGAGAGATAATGTTGGGTATAAGGTTAATGAGGATCGCAATTCAATGTGGGCTTGCAGACGTGTTCTCGAAGTGAGGTGGGGGCTTAAACCCAAAATTGTACACACTATACGACGATAGTATGTCATCTCTCTTGTACGACTGCATTGGAATCGAGACAACTAAGGCTAAACGCAATAAAATTCAACAATTGGCTTGTATCAGTATTATAAGCACAGTGTGGGCAACGCCATTGGGTGCAATGGAAGCTCTGCTGGATCTCCGCGGAGAGGCGAGAGTAGTCGCACATCGATTGTGGAGTCAGGGCAGCTGGTCCTTTTTGAATTCTGCAAAGGGTCATCATATCATCTTAGTCGAACTGCAAAGGGAGAATCCTGTCCTTCTGAGCAGGGGTGATATGGATTCAACCTCAAGTTAAATGTGGAGTATCCAACGAGGGCGGAGTGTGACTCCAGAAGCCGGAATGTCTCCTTTTGGAGGGGAAAGGACTTATGAGAAGAATAACAATCTTCTCCCACAGCCAGGCACTAAGTGCTAGCATTCGGTATCATTAGTGTGGGTAGCGGGGCACGCTGAGATAAAGGGAAATCATATGGCGGACGCTCTTGCGGAAGCAGGATCAACGAGTAAGCTCGTTGGTCCTGAGCGAGCGCTAGTCATGCCCGCGCAAAGAGTCGGGAGGAAAATGGAGAAGTGGATTGGAGGACAACCTCTCAGAAATGAAGAAGCATGTCTATACATCTCAGTCAGGCAAAGGAGTTCATCGTAGAGCCCAGAGCTAAGGACGGATGCTTTTACTTATCTTTGGATAGAGCCAACCTAAGATCGCTGGTGGGAGTGTTGTCTTTCCATAACACGTTGAGGCGTCACCTGCATGTGATAGGGGTGGCTGAGGATCCTTTGTGTAAGCACTGAGGGGTAAAGGATGAGACCTCGGCGCATGGTCTGTGTCGCCGTGAGAATCTGAGCCACCTCGGGCAGACTATACTGGGGTCCACCACTTTCACAGAACGTTAAGGAGCTTTGACTCAAGGCTATACTCAGCTTTGTTAGAAGGGCAGTGCTTCATTCATAATCACGAATTTTTGTTGCTTATGTCTATATCTGCAAATAATATAAATTTGATTGCGTGCTCTATTTTCTTTGACCCGGAGTATATTAAAGGATGTAAATTGGTAGATAATTCATACATGTTCAGTAATTCGAATCAGATGAGGTATGTCTAGACGTTGGTCCAGAGTTCTTCTGAGGTACATCTTAAATCATCTTAAAATATATCTAGTGTCTTAAAAATGGATCAAAGAACTTTTATGTAAAGCGAACAAAAGGGTGAATGATGCGATGAGTTGAACTTATACTAAATGGATGCGAATTGGCAGTTGCATATTTTGTGCATAAGGTCTAGGCTTTCATCTTTACTGAACCGTGAAAGTTGCTGGATACCAATGACTAGACCAGGTATTCTAAACCTTTTTTAGCGTGATTTTATGGACCCCTTAATAAAAAACAGTAATACATTTCGGGGAGCTAAAAGATTTGTCGTTTTAAAATTACTATTTTATGGAGTGTTGTAAATTTCTACGTCACTAATGAGACTGGAAAAGGACATAACATTAACATTGTTCAAATAATGCTATAATGAGTTGGGATTACTTTGCTAATACACTGCGTACAATTTTAGATGCCAAACTTTACTAACTTCAGCGTAGTTTCAAAGCAGAATGAAGTGAAGTTTTTTCGGCGAATCTTACCTCAAACATGCAAATCAATTCTTCTCTTAAAGGAGTAGTCTGGGAAAGATTTGTCCAGAGAGGCACATTATGTAAAATTGAATATGTTATACAAAAATTCAACAGACGTTCGAAAAACTTGTAAGTCTAACCTCTGTAGCACGGTAAAAGCATGCAGCAAAACATAAAATGCACCACACATCAATAGCATGCATAATTATATACTGACGTATATAATATAGTAATAATGAATTTATTACAACAATTTTTTGTATACATGTTTATTAGGGTTAAGCAAGTATTTGATCAATATTTCAGAAAAATCCAACCGATTATAAAAATGTGAAAAATTATTTATTCTTCTTTTGATACAACCTGTACATCCAACTCTTCATGTACGGCCTTCCTGATTCCATGCTAGACGACAAACCACCGCCGTGTTTGAACTTCTGTGCATCCTGCTGGCTATATGTCTAAAGGAAAAAACAGCCTCGCACAAGCTCACCACCCACCACGATCAAATTCGCCAAGCTGTGGAACATTTTTTGGTCTTCTCACTTCAGGCATAAAAAACAGCCCTTCACAACGTATCGGACGATGATCAAATGATAATTGCAGCTATAAAACGTACTTTTTGTTGTTGTATCTCAAAAACCACTTTAGCGATATGGTTGAGAATTTGATGGGTTATTTGTCCCAACTTAAAAAACATCATCTAGAAAATCTTTGTAAGAAATTTATTATTACCCGGCGTTCCTTCTTCTATGTCACTTAATATACACACCTGTTCTGAGGACAATTACCCCTTATCATTATGACTATTTTACCATGAGTTGTTTCCATCAGAGTCACTTACAAATGTGATGAATACTTTACTGGGTGTTATCCTATTTGGTAAAAGAGCTAACTTTTTTGTTGCAGCTTCCTTCATAGAAATATGCCACAGAAAAGATCCACAAATCAACAAATGTTTGCAACGGAACGTTGAGATTTTAAGGCCACGGTTGAAAAATGGAATACCTGAAATGCAGATTCCCGGCTTCAACCCCTTGGTGATTTCTCAAGCTACCCTTAGTGGTGGAGTCAGTTTCGAGGCTATTTTCAATAACATAAGGGTATGTCTTTTTTAATTGAATATTCTTACAGTGTACAGCGTCGTTATTGGAAGAAAACGAAACAGATGGTTTATGAGGTAAGGTTTATCTATAATATCGATATTGGAAATTGTAAACAAGTGGTTTATTATTTGGACAATGTTGGAAGCACAGTGAAGTACGTGAAAAACTTTGGCGTTTTGCACATTAGCAGATTAGCAGGATAAAATTTGAATGATGGAACTGGTTTATCAACACTAAATTCCGAGATGAAAGTCACCGTAAACAATTTTAAGATGAGGGTTGCTACCTTGGGACATTTATTTTAAATGGAATAGGTAGTCATGAGAAACGTCATTTTGAGACTATCAGCATTTTTCAACCCTTCAGTATAAATTTACTATCTTTCAACAAGGCGGTCTGGCAGGCTGTCAAAGATGAACGTTCTTGTAGATTGAATCATTCTCAACTCAATAACTAATCAAAGTGTTATGGTATAGCATATCAATCATTTCCTTTCAAATAGATCTATCTGGATATGGGACAATCCGTTTAAAAAAATATATTTTTTTGAAAAATGGAATATTTGAATGGTAGAATATAACATATTTTATCAGAATCATCCAAGAAAGTTCTGATGAAAATTCAGGAAAACATATTTTCAGACAAATATATTGGATTACCTTGACATGCCTGAAATTTCAGGCGTACAGAATTTAATATCCCGTGGATGATTTTTAATTAAGATTATCTAAATAGTTTCATCATTTTTCGCAAATTCCCTGCTCGTTCCCCTGAAATTACTGAGATTATATTATTTATAAAAATTGAGAATGTGTTTAATTTATTTCAGATGTATGGAGCAGATGATTTTATTATGGACAGGTTTGAAGTCACTACGGACCCAAAGTTCCGTTTTGATTTGGATATACATTTCGACAAGTTGAGGATATTGTCAGATTACAAGATTAATGGCAGACTCCTTGTGTTGCAGCTCAATGGAGCAGGTCCTGCAGATGGAAATTACAGTAAGTCTATCCAGATTACAGGAAGAGCTAGCTCTAAAACCCAAAGAGTCGGTTCTTTAATTCCAGGTTAACTATGATTTTGCTGGAATTTAACAACATTGAATTTGAACGAAATGCTGCCAAGATTCACTCACAGAAATTTTTTGGACGTAATCGGTGTTCCAGTGCTGACGACCCCTCCTTGTTAGACATTTTATATCACGCATGTGTCATCTAGAGATTCAAGAAATTGATTATGAGTCTTTGTACGGTGGAGGAACGGATCAGAACTACGTAAACCAAGGGCGAATTTAGGATTTCGTATAGGGGGGGGGGGGGGGGGCAAACGATATTTGGGGCTGATAATTTTTCAACCTGAGTGGAACTTCTAGAATCTATCCTATTATTGCTCATTAAATCCATTGTGTTCTATTTAGTTAATGCCAGCTTGAAAAAAAAAACATGGAAAATGCTCAGAAATCCTCAGAAAAGCAATATTTTATTATATGAGAACAAAATAAGTACGTTGCATTTATAATTATCTAGTGTGGTAACATTAAAGATTAAAACATAAAAAACTTCATTGCTCTGTTGACCGAAAAAAAAAAACGTTCTGAGGGACCCCGAGACATATCCCAGTCCATTACACATAAAACAATGTCTTTGATGGCGAAAACGAACATGATACCGAGAAATTCACATTATCGTATAGACTCTAGATGAGACAAAGAAGGATGTCTATGGACCATCTATAGATCGTGTCTTGAAACCGTCTCCTGACTTCCTATAGAAAAATTGCGCAACGGGGTCTACTAGTGTGTACTAAGCTTAGGATTAAGACTTTGAACTGCCACTTAAACAAATCAAGTAATTGGTGCAAATACTGACACAATCAAGCACTTCTATTATATCAGCAGGTGATACAAATATCACTAGGTATAGTCAATTATTTTTTGAAATTCCATATAGATGTTACAGTTATTCTTCAGACTTTCGTTGCCGAACTTACATTTACGGCATAGTTGTTGTTTTCTCAGTTTTGGATTCGGTGTTGATTGCATGTAAAAATATTTGGAAAAAACTATATCTGTTAGATCGCAATTATTTTGCTAATGTATATTTGCACGAAACAAGTACACCTATACAGGGGTGTACGTATTCACGTGTAGTGCAGAAGCTCTGTTATTCAAACGAATTCAATATAGCAACATAAACAGACACATACGCGGGAAGAGGTGCGGGAGATGTGGTATTGACTGTGAGCATCGATCGACGCATTTTCTGGACAGACCACAGGCGGACTGCTAAACAAATCTCATAAATGTATATTTCCAATTTAGGCGTTCATTTAACATAGTGCTTCGCTGCAACACCAACCTCGAACAAAATCAGTCAAGCTTTACACACTTTTCAAATTCCTATTGACCAACAAACAGAACATAAACCACTTTTCAAGTGCAATCTGTATAGGTAATATATTACTCAGACTTGTCACAAGTTGCAATACTCGTGTATACATATAAGTCATAAGAGTTGTGCTATAAATGTAAGTGATGTCAAAGAGGGACAGCGTTTGGAATACCAAAGGATAATAAAAAATCGCAATGCTCAGTTCCTATAGCTTTAACTTATAGTTAGCATGGCTCTGTCGCCATAATATGTCAGAAAGTAACACATTGGTGTTAGATTACAAAAGCAAGTGTCAGACGTCTAGAGGAGCGGACACCCCCGCTCCTCCACTAAATTTGCCACTGATGCTAGCTTACTACAAAAAATCAAAATCTAGACTTTTCGTGGCTTCAGTTGAATAATATGCACTTAAACTACATCTTCTAACAAGAAAAGGCATCGTGCAATACGATAAATGATGATATGGAGTTGTCGAATTGTCAGACACGTTTTCTTGATGGCCACGTGGCTTCTTGCAACAGTGATAGGTATTGTCCAACAGTGGCTCATTAACAGGACAATATTATACAAAATCCATACAAAAGATACAGAACAAGCTATACAAAAAAACAAAAATATGTCACGTATATCTTTGACCTACGTATGTATTAGCTAACCTAACTAATTCTTTGTTAGAAGTACAAAATATGTCACAGAAAGTACAGATTCTATTGAAATTTTTAAACATATTATTTAGCGGCAACTTCAGTGAAATATTTGTTCTTGCCCTTGTAGCTCTGAACGTGAAGTGAGTACGCGACGCAAAAGTCGGTACACTGATGTCGATCTTCCAAAAAGTGGGGGACTATCAATTAGATTATTTAAGAGCTTAAACAAAAATATCTATGTCGCGCAAGTCCTACGCTCCAGAGATATAAGGTCAACACGATTGTATAACTCGGTATTGGTAACACCCCTTTCTGGGTAAATTCCATCAATTTTATAAACTAAGGACTTGGAAAATCTCTCTGTACTTTCTCCAAACAACCCTTTTGGAACTCACAAAAGGGATTCCAAACTATCCAGTTTAGACCTCACAAAAGCAAAATACAGTAGCTTAATGGTTCTTATGTTATGGAAATGTCTACAGTTTCTAACAACAAATCCATATAACTGTATAGAATGTGAAATATGAAACTAATGCTTCAATATGTTTACCAAATGTCAACTTGTAATCAAAATCACACCTAAATCCTTAATTGCCAATGCCGCAACAGGTAAATAAAGTGATAGGTAGTTTTCCTCCTAGAATATCTAATAATAATAATTTTACATTTGGGTACATTAAGAAATAACTTATTGGTATCACACCAGCGCTGCAGGATGTCCAATTGAGTCTGAAAGAAACTACAATCATTCAAATAATTGATAACGGAATATATTTTGAAATTATCCGCAAAACATACACGCTCACTCTGTAAATCTTCACATAAATCATTGATGAACAGCAAAAACCGCAGAGCACCCAAATTTGAACCTTGCGGAACACCAGATGAGGCTAAGTGAGTATCAGAACGAAAGTTATTACAAGAAACAAATTGCCACCTCGAAGATAAATAAGATGTTTGCTGGCTTACAAGATTGAACGAGCTCTTATCGCTGTCTGTATCTAATTAATAGACCTATACCGTACTCAGGATTGTCAAAAAGCATGGAACAACGACATTTGTCATGGTTTTAGAGACGGAAAGTAAACAGATCCTATTCAGCCTAAGCAGCGTAATCCCGCTTGACATTTTTTGTAACATTCCTCAAAGATAAACCCTATGCAAGCAATAGGAAGTCGCTTAACGATCTGAAGCAAACATTTTTCAAGTTATTGAACCGCAATTGTAGCAAAGAAGAAAAGAAATAGCTGAACATACTACCAGCCTGAGAAATCGCCATAATTCACCGCCTTTACATGAGTAGAAATTACATATCTACCCCAAGGTAAATAACCCTTTCTCCATTTTTGAATACAATTGATAGCTTTAAAAAAAAAACAATGGAAATGGCCGCCACGTCGGCAATCCAATTGCTGCGAATAGTGCGATACGGACCCAAGAAGGCAAATATTAGGTTTTTCTTTGCTTTCCTAATCGAGAGAAAACACCCTAATGAGAATAGATACGCTGGGTCAAGAAATGGGCCATTCGAATTGAAAACGTAATAGGAGCCACTGCGAATACGACTTTGGGCTCAGATGTTTAGTCGACTCTTGAAAGCTGAGACAGGTCTTCAAACTTAACAAAATTGTCAAAATATCGAAACTTTTCAGCTTTAAAAGATTTCAAAGTTCCGAATGTTTTTTTAAGTTCAAAATTCTTCAAAATCTTCAGAGTTATGGTGTTTTCAAATTTTTCAAAATTCTCAATGTTTAAAATTTTTAAAATTTGTTACTTTTTCAACCGATTGCTCTAGGTTGAGTGGTTGCTAATATACAGCTGGTGTCCTTTATTAAAAATCAAGACCGACAACATAATGAGTTCGTTCAAGCTTACACCTCGGAATAAGCTCTTCAGATATTAAATCCACGATTGCGCTTAAAATACTGTGTAATAAAGAGTTTATACATACATATCTGTATATTCGTTTGTGCACTTTCTGATTTCCAATTTCTCTTATTTGTTTTAATTTCGTTTTACATGTATGTGGTTAATCAGGTTTACAAAATACTAGGTCATTAAGCCAAACAAAAAAGCTAATATAAACTTGTATACGTTCGTCTGCGTAACCAACTTACAGGTTCAACTTCATTTCTTCTAAAATTCATTTTGTTGTTTTCTCTTGAACTTCCTGATTGGCTTGAATGAAACTCTGTGAAATGATGGTAAGGGACTTAATCTGTATCAGCTATATCCGCCTAAATTATCACAGGAGAGACGGTATTAAATTTTACCAGAACTGCGCTCTTTGTGGGAATGATCAAAAATTCTCTTGCTTGCCTGTTGTAAGACTGTAAGACCCACAGAAATAAAGTGAAAGGTGTAATTCGCAGAGTTTGATCCGTACTAATTCATACATATTGGAAATACATATGTTCTAATCAACACCTGCGGGTTTTATTTTTTGGGTTCGAGACCGATCAAGGGGTATCGGACATTTCTGTTTAAACCTGGAAGTTTCATTACTCAGCGAATTTTTCCAGCTACAGACCATTGTGTTACTTATGTAGAAGTAGGGAATATACTTATTCCGTCCCTTGATCTCACTGTGCTAGTAGCGTGCTTAGTTCAATTTCGCCCCCTAGGAAAATTGAGTTGAATATAAAAAACAGATTGAGTAGGTACTTTAATAAGGTTAATGCCTATCGCCGAGTTTCATTCAAATTGTTCAAATAATATAAAAGATATAGGCTGCATACTTACATGCAAGTGAAACAAACGCAGCTTCCACCCATTTCCTCCATTGCCATCTATCGGTTCTAGTTCCGCGTATAGAAGATAATCAACATCCTCGCAAGCACATAGTAGTATCCTTTCACAGTTTTGCTTGGTGCTAGTATAATTGGTAGTTTTTGAAGATAAATTCATGATCCTCCACTGCGACCCTATTGTTCATTGTCATTATTATTTAAAAATATGCCCAAACATCTGTTGTACTTGCATATCCTTGTTGCCAAGTAGGATCAGATATAAACGACTTCTCCTCCTGTACATTCAATCCGATTAAGGGATTTGCTGATGACAGCGCTCTACACGCAGACATTTAGTGTGAAAAGCCGATATCTGCCGATGAGCTGGAGAGAAGAAGTCTAGTACTGACTTAATCTCTCACAAGATATCTGAAAGTTATCACTGCTTCGGGACGCAACAGTTTGGTACAGTTTAATGCTTCCAAAACACAGTACTGTACAGTACTGACTATCAAGATGCGCCCTAACTCTCATCCGGTTTCTATGGATGACCACGTTTTCATGAAAAACTGTTCATTTCGGCTGGTCGGAGTCCAGATCATCGAGGACTTGATCTGGCACGATGAAGTTAAACTGTATCGTTTGTATTACAGTGAATAAGTTGATTGGACTTAAAATTGAAGCATCATCGATACAAATATAGTAATTCCTTTATACATATGTATTCTGTGCCCAAATATTGCGTTTTGCTGATTGCCGATACAACTGTTTAATTAGCATCAGCATTAATTATGTATGTGCATCATTAGCTCGTCTGTAGATATGTATATTGCCCGTATGGTAGCTCAATAATACGAGCTTAATTTCCACAGCACGTGGGCATAGTCAAATTTTGGAAATACGGAAATTATCTTGGAAAGAACGCAAAAGATGCATACAAGGAAAATCGAAACTTCGTGCGACTTTGAGCGATCAGCGCAACATGCTATCTCCGTATATCTACAGTGATGCCACGGACACTTTACTGTACAACAGTCAGTAATGGAAATTAAGTGTGTCACTAAGTATGCTACATAATTGCGACAAGACAATATGGAATTTCATGGAAAAATAAGAGATCCAAAAGTCTGATGTCTATGCGAGAACACTTAGCGCAAAGGTTTATCAATATGAGCCTAATAAAATCTAGCAATAATTCGATATCCACTAAAGAAGGCTGCATTTAACAGCACCCTTGATGAAAACAAAAATGAGCGCTGAAATTTTACCTCAAGTGAGCAGTGTATTGGCTGGAGTTGCGAAAACAGCAGTATAGCCACCAACACGGCAATAGCGTTCATGATTACTGTTCTATGTAAATAGAAAAAATATTGTACTTAATATTTATACATCGATTCTTGCAAAAAATGAGCAGGAATATAGCGTGAACTGCCAGTTAACATGATAGGCATGTTTTATAATAATTATTGTCAATTGGTTTTTAATATTAGACATTTTTGTCAATCACAAATACTACATAATCTAAAGGTAAACATGAACGTTATTTTGACATTCAAGCCTATGGTACACCTTAAACAAATGTCAAACGAGGCTTTCGTTAACGTTTACGTATGCGGTAGTTGCGGTTGTGAAAAGTCTCTATTTTTTAATGGATTCTTTTGTATTCTAACGTTATATAGGGTTGTCCAATAGGGACTCAGGAAAGTAAACGTCAATTTGACATAGACACCATCTTTGTTTTCTGTCACCGACATGTCATTTTGTTAGTTGAATGTTTACCATTGATCGCTATGGAGTCGTATTCGATTGAAGACCGCATTAAAGTTATTCAAGAGCACTACAAAAATGGTGCAAAAATAAAAAACACGTTACGCGCGCTTCGTGAACATTTCGGTCGCAACAACCGCCCAAACGAAACAACCATCGGTCGTCTGGTGCGTAAATTCGAGGCAACAGGTTCTGTGGCAAATCTGCCAGGCTCTGACCGGCCAAGGAGCGTTCGCTCACCGGAAAATATTGCTGTTGTGAAGGAGAGTGTGAGAGACGATCCGAAACAATCAACAACGCGTCGATCCCAAGAATTGAGCATTTCGAGAACCAGTTTGCTCCGCATTCTCCACAAGGATTTGAATGTACACGCCTACAAGATCCAATTGACGCAAGAGCTGCGTCGGGCCGACCATTTTTTGCGCCGAACGTTCTCAGATTGGCTCCTTGAACACCGCCAAATTGATGCCAATTTTTCAAAAATCATGTTCAGCGACGAAGCGCATTTCACTTTGAATGGGACGGTAAACAAGCAAAACTGCCGCACCTGGGCGAACGAAAATCCCCGTGAGTATCAAGAGCAGCCGATGCATCCTCAAAAAGGGACTGTGTGGTGTGCATTGTGGTCAAAAGGCATCATCGGACCTTACTTTTTCCAAAATGCGGCCGGGGACGCCGTTACCGTCAATTCTGAGCGATATCACGTGATGATAGAGGACTATTTTTTGCCGCAACTTGAAGGAATGGATATGCACGATGTTTATTTCCAACAAGACGGTGCAACATGCCACACAACCAACGTCAATATCCATCGATTGCAGTCCTTCTTCGTTGGTCGCGTGATTTCGCGCAGAGGAAATGTGCCATGGCCACCAAGATCGTGCGATTTGACTCCCTTGGACTTCTTTTTATGGGGATATTTGAAAAGCAAAGTCTACGTCAACAAACCAGCCACCCTCCAAGAACTCAAAAACAACATCATTGCCGAGATAAATGCCATAGAACCACCGATGTTGCAAAATGTCATTGAAAATTTCGACCGTCGCGTGGACGTCTGTAAATCCAGTCGTGGTGAACATTTGAGCGATATTATTTTTCATACATAAATGGTATAAATGAACCTTCAAAATAAAGTACCCAACTTGATTTGAATATCATTCTTTCTTGTTTTAATATGCGTTTACTTTCCTGCGTCCGTTTTGGACAACACCATATTTATCTTTTTACCCGTATAAGCTCAAACGAGCATAACAACACTTATCAATGACAGCTCAATCACGAAGTTGCAGTACGGAAGTTTACGTCATAGTCCCATCCTAGCGTTCTTGTTTCAACCGGTTTTTTCCAAAAAAACGGGACATTCAAAATATTTCAGCGATAACGCGATTTCAACTGATGATAAAGCACTCTAAAAGTATTTTTTATGCTATTATTCCATTTAGTAACAAAAAAAGAACAGAAATCGGAGTCAATACGGAATTCGCAAGACAGTAACTGCGAATATATATTTTTCAAACCTAATATATCCTTAACTTGATGTTTTATTGTGTTACGTTGTTAGGCAAAGCAAAATGACATGTCATTCTGCCGCGTATATAAAAGGAATTATTTCTGCTTACTTTAGCCTTTGTCCTGAAAATACCTCCCATAAGGATCGAGTACCATCACATGTGAGTGGGTGTGTTTCATTTGTGTTTATTTTCTATTTAGTTCCTATAAAATAATTTTCATCAGAGCTCATCTAAGAGGATACAAACACCACTGGAAAACGGCTTTTGGACATTTGAACTATAGTGTATAATCCAACGATGTACTTGTGTATAGAAAATAATTTACTCATTCGGATAGTTTGGAACGAACTAGCCGAAACGCAATATTGCAGATACTTTTTGCACCCTGCACTAATAATTGCTCAACGATAGCATAATGAGAAGCCTGATCTTTAACTGAAATACTACACTCGTTAGGTATCTGCAAAATAAACCGTTTATTAATTTGTTTTGTTCAAGTAAACTGTAATCCTGATTATTTATTCGTAGTCAGCAACTAGAAAAAATTCCCATATATAAACTGAATTCGCTATGCGAGGTTTTAGGTTTTTATTGCAATTTTTGGGGACAGTTGTTGATCGATAAGGGCAGTACTGAAATAAGACTATTTTTCTCAAAAACGGCTTGAATCCAAAAAATACTTTTTTGTCAGATAAAAGATCAGGCTTTCTAAAGGCATTATTTTTGAGCTATTATTATACAGGGTATAGAAATATCGTCAAGGCTAGTCAGTACCTGGCTATCTAAGTGGGTTAATTGTTTTTCAAGAACGCCATTATGAGACCCAACTGGTCACTGTTCCGCTAAAATTCTCAATGCGGTTTCGTTATTTGATTATGCAAGAAGAAGACTCAATTTCCACTCGCGCCTTCCAGGTGTCGGAGGATATTTTTTATGTTGGATTGTGGAATCATTTTTTATTCATCTGCTTTAGTGAGTTGAAAGAGAAACTTTGTGTTGAATATTCAAAATATACTATTGAAAACACTAATTTTTGCCATGAATAGTTCTCTAAGTACAGGATATTCAGATACGTACCAGATCTGAAGATGAAGATGAAGATGATTGAAGAAGCTTGAAAAATCGCAATACCTCTATTTAATCAACAAAGGAAGTAAATAAATATGTAACTATTTTGCAGTTAGCTACCAAGGACTGCATTTATTTTACAATGGGTTCTCATTTTGGACTAGCTTCCAGTTCTATCATGGTACAGAAAAACAAATCATTTTCTTCGTTAAACACATCGAATCTAACTCTGAATGTTCCGAACAGCATAGACGGAATGTCCAAATCATCACCGGCAGCTTGGTATTTCTTGCCTATATATGTGCCCTAAAAAAAAAAACTAAAGTAGTCTAAGGATATATCAATGTGACTAGTAGTCTAATCATATTAGACGAAAATACCCCTGGCTTGCGAAACAATTGTAAAGTCTGGTTTTATTGCTGCAAGTTGTGCAAGGGGGTATTGAAAACATGGACGCATAAAATGGGTACACCAATTTTTGTGGGAAAACTTTTTATTCGACAACAAAGAATAAGAAAAAGTATTTTTTGGGATCCAATGAAAAGTGATGGCAGGAACGAAGTAAATCTTTATATAAGATTTTTAGGTATTTATGAGACTTACAAAATGAGACCACACGTAAAAAGGTCCGACTAATAGCGAAAAAGTTATGGCCTAAAACCGAGGCAAACTGCAGGGTTTAGCACTTGTTGGTAATGAGACGATGGTGTCTCGCAGATATTTGAAATTCTTCAAATTCGGAGGATTTGTACTTCTAAATAACCACAACCAAACTGAAGTACATTGGTCTAGTAGTTTTTGAGAATTTCTAATTGTTTATCCAAAAACACCTGTTTCCGGCCATCACTACTAATTTATTGAGCCATATACAGGGTTCGAATGCTATTTCCGGCTTTTTAAGTACGTTTTACATAATAACCACCTTGTTTTGTCCATGTCACAAAAAATTAATTTAATTTTGTTCACCAGTGTTACACTCGAAAAATACACGTTTTTCGAACGCATGACGTGGATAATCTGCTTTATTTCAACGAGTTCTAGGTTTGATTGATGCTACATATTGTTTTTATATAATTTTCTATAATTTGTGGGGTTTCTACAGTTTGAGGAAGTAATGCTTTAATCCCGCAGATGTTCGTTCTCAGCATGATATCCCACTATTTCCGTAATAACTGCTGTCCAACCGTCAATAGGTCATGAGTTACTAAAAAGCTTGACCCAAACTAATAATAGGTGGTGATTTCATTGTATCATAAATTATGTGATTTAACACAACATGAATAAGAAAAAAAATTAGTGGGAAACTACATACAGCCTTAATCGAACCTAGCACTCATCAAAATAAAGCGGATGTGTTCAAAAGGTGATCACTTTTTTATGAAATAAGATCACCGATCACTTGAACTGAAGAGCATCGGACAAAATGCTGTTAAGGCGTGAGTTGGGAAATCGGTGTTCCGGTCCTAAACTGAAGCGGAAATATCAAAGTCGCCGATTGGAAACGTAGAGAATATTATTTTTATTATTTTTATAAGCCTCTCAAGAGGGGTTTTATTTATTTGAATATCTTTCTTCCTTTTCAAGTCTGCCGTTTTTATATTAAAATACGCGGGTGACTTTATTCGCCAATTTTCCAGTGAAATGCTCTTTTTTGGAATCCCTACAGGCAAGGACTTTTATTGATTTGAGCTATCACAATTTAATGGTTCCTCATAAAATAAACGTTCTTTGGTCTAACGAATCTTACAAATTTTGTGCCTCTTTTCTTCTATGCCATTTTTTGGCTATAGTTAGATATGGACAACTCAGATTGTGGAGTGTCTGGCCATAATGCGTTTAGACCTAGACACCACCACAAGAGCGGTTTGGCGATCAAACTCCACAGAAGCCCATAGGATAACACGTTTTTCTTTATAAATATAAACCATCATGTGTAAAAATATCACTTTGCTTGTTGTAAATTATAGTACAACACGATCAAAATGAAACCTATACGAAAATGCATTTTTTTCTAACATTCGAAAATTGATGTTTTTATATTATACTGTACAATAATTTTGATATATGAAACCACAATCATATTTTGTTTCCCAAGGAATACAGCCCTTGATATTGTCAAGCTTCATCCACACGCAAATATTTGTTTTTGATGAGATCAATGTTAAAACGATCCATGTTTGACATATGTATTTTTGCAATGACTCTTTTATTAACTTATTGATTGAATATCGGCCTGATCTCTGAATTCCTATGATAAAAAGCTATATTCTTATCAAATGCTTTCTGTTATAAGCTTTGAAAGATGTATCTTGGACCACTACTCTCAAACAAACCGTAAATAAATTTGGAAAAAAATTTCTTGTTCTTTAAAGCTGAATACAGTGACGATATTGTTGTACCTTTTACTTTATTTACTTGATGCATTTCTTTGCAAGAAGAAGGTAGAGGTTATGAATTCGGACTGAAGTAAGACTTTTAACCTCTACCTATGCTTTTACCTTTTACATGAAAGCAAATGTATCATTTTTATAAATACCAACTACTGTCGCATCTGTATGTATTGCATCTGTGCCTTGAAAGCACTATGTATTCCGACTGACTTGAAGGATTGTGATATCCACTCATAGAGGGTAATTGTTATACAGTGTTAGCCGTAGGTCCACGGACCTTTATGCATTTTCGGCATGGTGCTGCAGATGTATCAAACTATGTTGAGCTATTTGTACAGCTCTTCAAGTGTAGGAAGAGATATGAGGATTTGCTGAGTTTGCACACACGAGAGAGGGAGAACGCATTCGGAGCAAAAGAGATGGTACGTACAATACGTGTGGTACAGTCTGCGTCCTAAATTAATCGAATAATTTCAATAATGGAATACGTATTATGTGAAGTCTACTTTTTTAATCGAAATTGTTGGCATGTGTCAAAAAGAAACCAAAACAATGTATTCCATAAAATAAGTATTGCAGGCTATGAAGCTATAAGACTGAAATTGATTATATTATTATATACAGTAGGAAATATTTTGAAGATTTATGAAGTTTCACATAGGATCAAATCCTGAAAGTTCGGAATCGGAATCTGAGCTACTACTTAAACTTAAATCTTCAGTTTCGCTATCGCTATCTTCGTCTACGTTTATTATTATTTGATCCACAACTAAGTCGAGTGCTGGTTCCATTTCCATATACTGCTTCTCAAAACCTTTGGCATGCTCACATCGCTTTTTTCACTCTTCTGTGGGATAAGCCGAGAAAAAGTCTTCGCAAAATTTGTCGACAGTCTTGAGATTAAAATCTACATTTCTCTCAGCCACATATTGTTTCAAAGATGCCCATACAACTCAATTGGATTCAAGCCGGGGTGATATGGTGGCAATCTCAAAACAGAACAGGCAGCAGCGGTGGCCGCAGTAGTAGACTCTTCGGTCTCCTGATCAGTCGCCGTGCGCTGTGCGGGTTCGAGTCCCGTCCCAGGAGAAATTGTTCTCTTGACTATGGATGTTGTGATTGTCCGTAGGTGGTAGACGGTCTCTGACTGTCGAACGTGGAGGTACCACCCGGCGGATCTCGTAGGCGGAGCCAGAATGTGTGCATGTTGCATGCACACGTGTTCCCTCGCCAGAGTCCGTGTGGCGTTCCCCCTTTCCCCTGTGTCCCCCTATAGCCCCACGGTATCCAATGGGTGTTTAGGCCTTCGTGGTAGTTGGAGTATATAAAAAAAAAGAATGACCTTTTTCAGCCATTATTCTGTCTATTTCATAAGTTATACCTATATGCCGGCTTTTGCATTTTGATAAGGCTATACAAATCAATATTCAACATGTCGTCAGTAGAATGTATGTTTTTTTGCCTTAGGCATACTTTCATATGATCCTTCTTAGAGCACATAGTAGGACATTTGTTTATCTGAACATTGTGGTACGGAGCGTTGTCTATAACCAAAACACTATTTGGTGGTAGGTTGAGAATCAGTTTATCCTGAAACCATTTTTTATAGTTACTATAGTTCATCTCACTGTGATTATCACCGGACTTACTATTGGATTTAAACTTCAAATATGCATTTTCCATGAAACCATTTTTATCACAAGCATGCGCAATAATAAATCTTTGTCCTTTTGATACTGGCCTGTGAAGGCCCTCATTGGTATTACCGCTCCAACTCTTTTCATGCGTATGTGATATGTGGATGTATGTTTCGTCCATATAAATTATAGGACGATTTTTTTCTCTATATTCCTTGTCAAAAAATTTGTCCTGAGATGCTGAATCTCTGGTTTCTCCATAAGAAATCTTCTATTAGTTCTTGCCTTCCTCGAATGAAATCCCATTCTCCTCATCACTTTCCTTAAAGTTTCATGTGATCCAGTGTAACTGTGTTCTTGAACAAATTACCTGTGTATGCGCCGCAAAGTTGGAACTTTCTTTTTCATTATGTAAAAATTCATTATAGATCGACGAAGCAATCCTCTATCAAAGTCGTCGAAATCAGATTTCGGAGTGGCTCTTCGTCTTTTTAGATTTCATTTCGCGAGAAATCCTCCTAATAGCCGATAGACTAACTCCCATGGCCATGGCTGCTCCGGAACTTTCTTCAAATCTTTAAGAGCTTCATTTCCTTCTGCTTCTCGTTGCATAAACAATATAACATTTGCTACAACCTCCCTAGTTCATCTTGATAAAACTTTACGTTGTAATTTGGATTTAAAATCCATTATAAACGAGTAAATCTCTTATCACACCAAGAAATAAATGGCGACAATTAATAGCGTAAAATTGTATGTATTTAACCCACGAATTCGTAACAATACATACAATTCACAGATAATAGGTAATAAAGTTGTTTCACTGCCTGAGAATTTTTCTCTTGACTGTACGCTAACTAGTCTAGACCCGACGAGAGACTACTGCTTCGACTGGAGAATTGAGCCACTAGCTACTGGGCACCGAGAAGGCGTGACATTATTCAAAAATTCGCATCTCTTCCTACACTTGAGCTGTACTTAGTCTTTCCGTTGACGGTATCTGCTTGAATGCTCTTCGTTTGTCTGCGTCTAGGACTAGACCTATACTGTACTGTTGATTGCTAATAAGCATAAAACAACGTTGTATGCGTTTGGTCCGCGTTACAGAGACGCGAAGCAAATAGATTCAGCTCAGCATACATTTTACCTATATTGATACTTACAGGTGCTACGTAGCAATTTGTGGGATCTGCCTTTGGTTCACTCGCTTCCGCTAACTTATACCAGCACTTTCTTGCGAATTGTTCCTTCATATCGCATAAAGTCCCATCGGTGTTGTAAATGTTTTCCTCCCAAGCACCATTCTTCCACTGATCTACTACCATATTTGCCTAAAATGAAATCTAGTGCTTGATTTCAAGCCGCAAGATTATCCTTGATTTTTTTGATATCCTGAATTTTAGAACCCACATTAGATACTCGATTCTTTGACTGCTTAGAACACCCTTAAGAATTTAATCAGAATATCAGCATTATGAATACATTATTTCAAAAATATCAAAAAAATAAATTACTTCTATAGAGTTTCCCATAATCTTAGTATGTATTATATGAAAAATTGTGTATAACACTATAATTCTTCCCCATTTTTTATATTGTTCAACCATCTTGTTTACAGCAGATGAAAATATTTTTTCAAAATTACAAGTTCTACAAAATAAAGCTATGAGAATCATTTTAAATAAAAACAAATATGCTAGGATTAAGTCGTGGATGAATGTGAAAAATTTCATATTATGTTATTAAGTTCTCGTTTTCATATTCAAATTAAAAAATCATTTATTATCACCACATTTAGAAAACTTCACAAAATTAAATAGTCATTATCATAACTACGAAACTAGAGGCAGTATAGATTTTCATCTGCCAAATTTTAATAGTAGCAAAACTAGTAAATCTATATTTTTAAAGGGAATATTTGAATTTAATAAATTGAATAATGATATTAAGCAGTGTTCGAATTTAAAAATGTTTAAGGTGAAATCAAAAAATCACTTAATGAATGATCAAAATGCAAAGAGAAGAATCTAAAATTACAGAAAATGGATTGAAGAAAAATATGTAAGCGAATAATAATACAAAATGACATTGTAGCATTAATGCTAAATAAAACAAACAAAAACGAACTTACAGTGAAGGTATCATCTATAGCCTGATCCATTTGAATCATAAATTCTACCCATTTTTCATTTCCGTCATCCTTCAGTTCTATTTCGGAATACGTTGAGGGATCAACACCATCACAAGGATAAACTGCATGGATTATAACATCAGTGTTTCCCACAGGTACGGCAGCCTAAAATATTTACACCTACAAAGGCTGGGCACAGATAAGTTAAAGACCTCAACTTAAAAATAAAATCAAAATGCTAAGATGCTGATCTCCTTAGAAAATGCGTAGTTTAATGGTGGGTCACTGAAGCTATACGTCTTTTGTATCTATAGAGAAATATGTTTCAAATTAACCAGCTGCCAATTTTCGTGTGGTTTTTCACAGTTGGAAAGAAAGAATCCGGAAAGTTTTGACACAAACTGACTGAGCGTTTATGGTTTATTAAAAAAATTATTATAGGACTCAGGAAACTATTTTTGGTTGCTTTTCCGATTATACAATTTGATTATGCGCACTGGAACCAGTAGGCACAAGCAACTCAAAATTATCTCGATAAAGATGTAACAGCACAAAGTTTATGTAAAAACCTTACGTCAAAGGAGCACTCAATGAGCGAGAGCTGCCATATAGCCACATACAAGGCAAACACGGACTTCATGATCACTGTGGATACCAAAAAGTATATTTCATTTTTATTGGAAATTTATAAGATGACATCTTTTGAAAAAAAGTTGTTCAGCATTGGACATGTAATATAGCGTGATCTCGATTAAATATCCACAAAAAATGTGTTTTCACGATGTACTATCAATCCCTCCATACCAATAGTTTTCCAAGGTGAACTTTTATTAAGCACAACACAGAGAAATGAGAAATAATCAGAATTAGTATATTATTTTTGAGGAAGATTTATAGCATCAATCTTTTTGAAAAAAATATGTTCAACATGGAGCAAAAATATAGCGTGATCAGGAGTAATATCAATCAAACAAGCGTACCAACTACCTATACTGTCAAAGCGCGTCAAAGTTTCGGCTGAAATGCTATTTCAAGGTGAACAATTGTCAGAAGGTCCCTTTAGCTTCATTTTCAGTCAATAAGTTTCAGTCCAGTAGTGGTCAAATACTCGGTGCAGGCTGGAGCGTTGTCATGGTGGATGTACCAAGTGTCCATTTTTGACTTTGGCCGCAGGTTTTTCATAGACTTTATGACTTGAGGCAGGCACTGTTCCATGTACCACTTAGCCGTGACTGTCTTCTATGTGTCTAAAACGACACGATTCACAATCCAGCTCGATTTTAAAAATACAGCTATCAATCTTTTCTTAACTGACCGGGATTTTCTGACATCTACGGGTGTGACCTCATCATCAAAGACCTAAACTTTGTTTTGAGCCTTGGTCGGCAAATCGTAATAGAGACGCCTGCCACGATGGTGTTTACATACCGAGATTGCCCCTTATCAAACATTTTCAGCATCTTTCGGCACCAAGTCCAACAACGAATCTTCTGCGGTACCCAGAGAGAACAAAGTTTCCTGACTTCTAAATGGTCATGCAGAATTGAATCAATTGCTAGTGCATTAAGGTGTAAGGTCTTTTCGATCTGTTGGTATGTCACTGTTACTGGCCTTCGTCAAGCGTCTTCCTCGCAGCAATAATGTTTTCCTCTGTTACTGACGTTCACGGCCTTCCTTCTCTCTCTCTCTCCTCCAGAGTGAAATTGACCATTTGGAATTCTCTGTATCATCTGAATATAGTCGTATGATGAGGACAATCATTATTTAATGCAAGCGTCATTTCTTATAAGCACTGGTCTATTCTTAAGCCATGCGTAAAGTTATACCGTAAAACTGTACTTATCTCACTACGTGACCACGATGCCAGACTCCGCACCTTACACTGTCAATATGAATGAACAACTAAATCAACAGACGCGCTGCTGGCGGCTACTATGCACTCATGGACATGCAGCCTCCACCGTCCGTTTGTTAAGTCATATTGCAAAACTCTTATAGTACCCTTTGTGTATAAAAACATATAAAAATAATAAATAAGAACATTATATATATATATATATATCTACAAAGAGAATATTATCATGCGGAGAAAGGTATACAGGGTGTCCCAGAAGTCGACGTCAAGCCGAAACCGAGTGATAGGAAAAGTCATAACAGCTATCAGAAAAATATTTAAAAAAACTTTATGTATGTGTTTTGAAAATTATAGGTCTTTGAAAAAAATATAGAAATTTCACACCCTACGGCAGTCTGTCAACTCCTGTTACTACAAATATTAACTTTTTTTGGATTTCATTTTTACAATGTAATGATGAATAATGCATCTTCAAACTGGTGTCTCAACCTTACTGCCAACTTTTCTCGTTCAGGAAAAATTGCCACTTATTTCCCAACCAAGTATTCCAAAGTAAAACTTTGCTCAACTTTAACTGGCTGTACTGGAAAAAAATGTACTACGAGAGTTTGGCAAGTAACCTTAAAAGTTGGCGCATTTAATAAGGATTCCAAAATGGTATAACACTTAGAAGATTACTCGTTAACTTATGCACAATTTTTATTTGAAGAAAAACTGATGAAAATTTTTCAAAATTTCCTAATTAAACAGCGATTATGAAAACGCACAAGGACCCTTAAGGATAACTGTTTGCACAACAGTGGGCGTCAAAATGCTGCTGATGATGATTTACCTTTACAGCAAATGCTCAAACTGTTTTCCTTCAGCCGCAATACACGCTCGACATCTTAAAAAGATCGGGTTATTAAACGAGCGAATCCACGGTTATTAACAAACTCAGCTGCTTCCAATAATCTTTGCCGTAGCTCAGCTACATTTTGAATCGGCTTGAAATACACTTTTTCTTTTACAGTTCCCCAGTAAAAAAATCTAACGGATTTAAATCTGGTGACCGGGCTGGCCACGGTATTGTACCAGACCGCCCTATCCATCTGCCTGGAAAGTTTTGATCGAGATACTCTCTCACTGAGAGTGCATAGTGCGCTGGGCAGCCATCATGCTGAAACCACATGTCCCTGTAAATACTCAGTGGCACGTCCTCCAATACATTTTCTAAATGATTTTGCAAAAAACCTAAATAAACCTCAGCAGTCAAAGTCTCTGGGAACTCAAACGGGCCGATTATTTTACCATTTAAAATTCCTGTCCAATGGTTTATCTTGAAGCGATATTGAGATTTATCTTCTCTCATCAAATGTGGGTTTGCTACGTGCCACTCGTGTAAGTTCCACAGTTCTTTGAAAAAATTTTATGGTCGGATGAGACCACATTTAAGAAAGATGGGTACATGAACCTGCATAACTTACACGAGTGGCACGTAGCAAACCCACATTTGATGAGAGAAGATAAATCTCAATATCGCTTCAAGATAAACCATTGGACAGGAATTTTAAATGGTAAAATAATCGGTCCGTTTGAGTTCCCAGAGACTTTGACTGCTGAAGTTTATTTGGATTTTTTGAAAAATCATGTACAAAATTTATTGGTGGACGAGCCACTGAGTATTTACAGGGACATGTGGTTTCAGCATGATGGCTGCCCAGCGCACTATGCACTCTCAGTGAGAGAGTATCTCGATCAAAACTTTCCAGGCAGATGGATAGGGCGGTCTGGTACAATACCGTGGCCAGCCCGGTCACCAGATTTAAATCCGTTAAATTTTTTTTACTGGGGAACTGTAAAAGAAAAAGTGTATTTCAAGCCGATTCAAAATGTAGCTGAGCTACGGCAAAGACTATTGGAAGCAGCTGAGTTTGTTAATAACCGAGGATTCGCTCGTTTAATAACCCCATAACCCCAGTTTGAGCATTTGCTGTAAAGGTAAATCATCATCAGCAGCATTTTGACGCCCACTGTTGTGCAAACAGTTATCCTTAAGGGTCCTTGTGCGTTTTCATAATCGCTGTTTAATTAGGAAATTTTGAAAAAATTTCATCAGTTTTTCTTCAAATAAAAATTGTGCATAAGTTAACGAGTAATCTTCTAAGTGTTATACCATTTTGGAATTCTTATTAAATGCGCCAACTTTTAAGGTTACTTGCCAAACTCTCGTATTACATTTTTTTCCAGTATAGCCAGTTAAAGTTGAACAAAGTTTTACTTTGGAATACTTGGTTGGGAAATAAGTGGCAATTTTTCCTGAACGAGAAAAGTTGGCAGTAAGGTTGAGACACCAGTTTGAAGATGCATTATTCATCATTACATTGTAAAAATAAAATCCAAAAAAAGTTAATATTTGTAGTAACAGGAGTTGACAGACTGCCGTAGGTTGTGAAATTTCTATATTTTTTTCAAAGACCTATTTTCAAAACACATACATAAAATTTTTTTAAATATTTTTCCGATAGCTGTTATGACTTTGCCTATCACCCGGTTTCGGCTTGACGTCGACTTCTGGGACACCCTGTATAACAACAAGTAGGAAAATAATGGGCAAAATCCGTAAAAAGAAGGAAAGTGGATTCCAGCAGAAAATAGGATAGGTAACCCGAGCGATACGTATTTCTGCTAAAAATAATAAATAAGAACATTATATATATAGCGAGGGTCCTACGGCTGTACCGCTTCTCGCACTTCAATCGCCATTCTCTTCTGTTTTCCCAATCTCCTTCATTCATTTCCCTTTTCCTCATGGCATCTTCTATCCCTTTCCTCGACGATGTTTTCGGCCTACCTCCCTTCCTTCTGTCGGTTGATTTATATGATACCATCTTCCTTGGCCAAATTTCATCAGCCATCCTCATGACATGGCCGTACTATACTAGTTGTCTTCTTTCCACTCTATCTACAATGCTATCTTGTACACCGTCCTTTCTCTGATCATACCGTTTTGGATATGGTCCAACCTAGATACTCTACACGACCGGCGTAGGAAGTCCATTTCAACGGCTTGTAGCTGGTTTTCTATTTTTGATGTAAGCTGCCAGCACTCAGTCCCATAAGTAGTTATTGGCTCCACGATACTGTGATAAACTTGTACTTTCGTGTTAATGCTAATTTTGGAAGACCGTATAATTGAATTCAATCTCTGGATTGCCATTTTACCCTGAACAAACCTGCTTTGTATGTATTATTTGTTGAACCGTCAGATGGTATATAGGTTCCCAAATGTTTGAACTAATGGGTTTGTCTTATAACTACATTGTCCACCTGAAGATCAGCGGGCTTGTCTCCAATAACGAGATATTCTGTTTTAGTGACATTGATGTTCAACCACCATTCATAGTATTCATGTATAAGTTTTCTAGTCATATATCCAATGTCTTCTTCATCATTTGCTATCAATACTTGGTCATCCGCTAAAAGTAATGTATACAAGCAAGTATTTCTGATTTCAATCCCCTAAATAAATAAATAAATAAATAAATACGAACAGCGCGGGCATGAAATGATATATGAATCACAACGATACCTCTGCGCAACAAACATTATGCGTTACAGAGTGCTTTCAAACTCAGACAGCGACCCGCTGCCAGAAGACATCCGCTCATATCTCACCAGCCGCAATTGAACTGCTCGGCTACAGCTTGTCCGAATGTATCCATTCTGACGTGAGTTTCCAAAAAATGTGTGAAATAAGTAAATGTAATTCAATTATCTCTGTATACAGGGTGCTTGGTACTTAAATGGACATAGTGAAACAGTCTGTAGTATGGACCTATTCCAATTCATATCTGAAAATAAAAAGTTCTAAATTCAGTGTTTACGGATATACAGGGCGA